ATTACTCCAGGCCTGTTCCAGTCAAAATGAACTGGACTATCTTGAACAGTTTAAATAATGACCAGGACTCAGAGTCCTTTAGCATGAAAGAAGTTACGGGACTTAACTGGTGTAGTGGAAGGTGTCCCTGCCTGTGGCAGGGGGGTTGGAACTAGATGATCTTTGAGGTCCCTTCCAACTCAAACCTTTCTATGGTTCTATGACTATGAGCCCCCTAAGTAATACTTGCCTTAGTGTAAGTCAATGAAGTTCAGCTGGACTTTCCACTGAGCCCATAAAGTGCTGAGGCCTGTTGTAGTGGTAAAGTATCTTCAGATGAAAATCAGTTAATAATTCTCAAGCAGAAATATTTCCCTTAAGTTGCAAGGGTTTGTAGCAAACATTATGAATTTGTTCTTTCAGCAAGCAGGTATTACTGAGCACTGATTGTGTTCTGTGTGCCATTTTTTTTACATCTCAAGATGTATTTAGGGATTGCTTCCTGTGTAGAGTAGCTGATGTTTTAACACAAACTTTACTAGAAATAGCTGGACTTGGCTGGGAACTTCTTGGCATTCTTCTTTAATGTCAGGAAATCATCAGTTTAGGGTTGATTTCTAGTCAATACTAGAAGTTTGACAGAATATTTTATTGGTTGTAGACTGAATTTGTATTTGCAGAATGAGCACCCTAATAGCCTGGTTATCTGGGTACTCCTTTGGAAAGCGATGGCTGTGGTTCAAGGCAAATTCACAACTGTGTGTGACTTTCTCTGAAATAGCTGCTCTGTTAAGGAGAAAACTTACTGCAAGGAGTTTCTGGTTCCCTTCACCTTGAATTTAGATACTATTGAAAAGGAGACAACGGATTTAAATGCAGTTCTATGTAAGACACTACATGGAAGTGTTGGGAGAATTAATGGAGGCAGGTAGTTCAGGGATTGAGACTACAGAAGTGTGAGGTGAAGCTCAGGAGCCAGGTAATGAACCCCACCTGGCTGGAGGAAAAGAGGAGATGTCTGCCAAAGAGAGAGAGAGATGAAGCAAGCAACTGTCAGAATAGGAAGCTGGAGTTCATGATGCTCCTTGGGGGCCTGGGGCTGGGGATAGGGACAGGGCAGCAGAAGCCAGTGGTAGAACTGACAGGTTTTAGACTTGAGAGTGAAGGAGACAACAGAATATCAAGTTTATGGAGAAATGGGAAAAATACCATCATATGCTGCCTATGACTGCAGTCTCTGTTCTGCAAACAACAACGTATGAAACCCCAACCACAACACTCTCTTGGCCTTTCATCTTCATCAGTTTCTAGGGCAATCCCCTCTGCAGTGACGCTAAAGTCAAATGCATCACCCAGGGCAGACTCTTCCCAGAGATGCCTGGGTGTGTTCTGGCATGGAGTGTGCACTGGGAACAGAGATCTCTGGGTGCAAGCTGATAAAGGCTGCTGACTCGGCATATCCTCCAGCACGGTTCTGTGCAGGCAGCTGTGTGCTCCCAGGCACCTCTCAGCAGGGCTCGTCCACCTACATACACACAGTTCTCTGCTCTTGCAGCCACCTAATGTCTGAGTGAGCGACTGGCTTGCATACTACCTGTGTCTATTGAGTACTTACTGTGATCAAATGGCTGTGAAGTGGATGCCACCATTTAAAATAAATTTGCATATCATCCAACAACTCCTCCTTTGCTGAAATAGATGCCAATGCAAGCATGTGATGCCACTGATCTGGAAAGTACATTCAGAAAGAATAAAGTTCTACAGGGCAGCCAAATGTACTGCCTCTTCTGTGCACCTGCATAGTGAACTCTGATTAGTGCTGGCCCATCTTCTTCCTTCTGTGCTTCCTTCTTCTCTCAGCGTAGAATTACTTATTCCTTCCTTCTCCTCTTACCCATTTAAATGTTTATGCAAAGTGGAGAAATTATAAGAGGATGATACATATTGCTGTTGTCATCACTTAGCAGCAGAGCTCATCTCTGGACTGTGGGATGCCCATATTAGAATTATGAAATCATTAAGGTTGGAAAGGACCTCCAAGATCAAGTCGAACCATCAACCCAATACCACCATGCCCACTAAACCATGTCCTGAAGCACTACATCTACACAGTTTGAACATTTCTAGGCATGGTCACTCTACCACTTCCCTGGGCAACCTCTTCCAGTGTTTGACCACTCTTTCAGTAAATAATTTTTTCCTAATATCTAATCTAAACCTTCCCTGGTGCAACTTGAGACCATTTTCTCTTGTCCTATCGCTAGCTACCTGGGAGAAGAGACCAACACCGACCTTGCTACAACCTCCTTTCAGGTAGTTGTAGAGAGCAATAAGGTCTCCCCTGAGCCTTCTTTTCTCCAAGCTAAACAACCCCAGTTCCCTCAGCTGCTCCTCATAAGACTTGTGCTCCGGACCCTTCACCAGCTTTCTTGCCCTTCTTTGGACATGCTCCAGCACCTCAATGTCTTCCTTGTAGTGAGGAGCCCAAAACCGCACACAGTATTCGAGGTGTGGCCTCACCAGTGCGGAGTACAGGGGCACGATCACTTCCCTAGTCCTGCTGGCCACACTATTGCTGATACAAGCCAGGATGCTGTTGGCCCTGTCCTTGTTTGATTCATAGCTACACTTCAGAAGAGCTTGTCTCTGACCTTGGTCAAAATAAAGAATTCTTTGGTTTGTGGTACAGGAAAAACACTTTGTATCTGACCTCTGGCCTAATGTTAATGACAAAATTATATCATTCTGCATGAGGGCGAGGCAGTTCTAACAGGAGGAACAGGTAAAAGGAAGAGAAGGTGATTGAATCATTTTCCTATGGGCTACATTAGCAAAAGGAGACGCGTTTGAGATTCAAGAAGGGATATCCTAAATTTAGACATGAAGAGGAAAAGATAAGAATCCAACAACTTTGAGGAAAGCTGCTAAGGAAACCCAGTCTCTTTTGTACTCTGAAGCTGGTTTTGCCAAGTGCTTTGCTGTTACTTCAAGACTTTTCATGTTACAGTTTTGCTGAGGCAAGTAAGTATGCTGCACCTATTGAATCTGTTCTTTTCTGATGTGCGAAGGACAAGTTGTATAAAACCAATATGTTGGGATGCAAGGATCTGTCAGCAGCACACCTGTGAGTTCCTCTCTCACAGTGAAAGGCAGCCAAAATTAAGTCTGCAGCAGTGATAAGCAAATGATGCCTAGATTAACCTGTGATCCCAAAGCAATTTAGGAAATGTTTATTAGCAATGTGAATTTATGTATGGATGGAAACACGAGGGAATTGCTGTGCAAGGTGGTGGAAGTGGATTTTTAGATCACAGAATCACGGGATGTTAGGGATTGGAAGGGACCTCAAAGGATCATCTAGTCCAATCCCCCTGCTGGAGCAGGACCACCTAGATCAGATCACACAAGAACGTGTCCAGGCAGGTTTTGAACATCTCCAGAGAAGGAGACTCTACCACCTCTCTGGGCAGCCTGTTCCAGTGTTCTGTTACCCTTACTGGGAAGAAGTTCTTCCTCATGTTTAAGCGGAACCTCCTATGTTCCAGCTTATATCCATTTCCCCTTGTCCTGTCATTGGATGCCACTGAGAAGAGCCTGGCTCCATCCTCCTGACGGTCCCCCTTTACATATTTATAAACATTGATGAGGTCCCCCCTCAGTCTCCTCTTCTCCAAGCTTAAGAGACCCAGCTCCCTCAGCCTTTCCTCATAAGGGAGATGCTCCACTTCCTTAATCATCCTTGTGGCCCTGCGCTGGACTCTCTCAAGCAGTTCCTTGTCCTTCTTGAATTGAGGGCCCAGAACTGGACATAATATTCCAGATGCAGAGGGCAGACTAGAGGGGGAGGAGAACCAATCTAACTACTAACCACACCCCTTCTAATACACCCCAGGATGCTAATGGCCTTCTTGGCCACAAGGGCACATTGCTGGCTCATGGTTATCCTGCTGTCCACCAGGACCCCCAAGATATAACTTGCAGATAAATAATGTCTAAATGCTGGATCAAGAAGAAACCATGTCAGAGAGAGATATTAGGGGAAAAAAAACAGAAGAAACTTTATGCTGTGGCTTCTTATCAGGCACATGTCTGCTGCTGGTACATTGAGAATACAGTAAAAGCACCAAAGGCAGTTACTGCTCCTGTGCTCAATGGCAGTGATCAACCTTTTGTGTTCTCCCACTCTGCTACAGAGATGAGGAGAAAACGGTTGGTGTTGGCTGCTCGGGGCTGAGCCACACAGCTCTTGGTTTGTAGGCTGGTCCGTCTTACCCTGCCTAGTAGTGGGACGGAGCCATGCACTGGAGGGAGCAGTAACTTCAACGTCCTTATCTTGTTTGCTTTCTGACGGGCCACACCTGTATTTATGGAAGGCTTGCTGGAGAGGTGGGGAGCCTACAAAGCAGTTCTGTTTGTTTGGTGTCTTTAGAGTTCCGTCTGACTTTCTACAAAAGTTGTCATGAAATCCGGAGACTTTATAATCATAAAATCCTTTTATAGCCTTCAGTTACCAAGCAACAAAGGACAAAGTACTGAACTTTTCTGTGCATTAATACATTTAACATGTCAGTGGGCTGTTTTTTCAGAGAAAATGAAAGGAAGCCACCAATCCATGTAATATTTCTGAAGCTTTATTTTTGTTTTCTTAATAAAAAAGTATGAAGTTATCTTCAAAACTTTTCTTTTTTTTTCCCCCCAGTTGTAGACTGGGGCCCTTCATTCTCTTGCTGTGGTAATTCAGTGAAGCCTTAATGCCATGCATTAACTGGTGTTTGCCTGGTGCTGCTGCATCATCTTCATCTTCCCTGCACACTCTCTTTTACTCTGCATTTCCCGTCATCCTTTCCCCAAAGTGACTAAAACCAGAAGCGTAACCCACCTGGTGGGTGGGATGTTACACGGGAGGGATTGGGTTTTCCTTTGTGTAGGAGAGTGGGCAGCGTTACTGAGTCTGAAGTACTGACAATTCCCTCCAAATTCCTCTCTCATAATTTCTGTCTTTTTGATGTTTTTAATTTTAGGGCAAGATATCCATGGAACCTTGGAGAATCCCATGGTGGATACAAGTATGTTGGAAGAATTCATCAGTAGTGACGTAGAGTTTGGAACTTTGTAAGTATTACAGCACCATGTACTTCTCCTTAGCGACATCCCTTAAATTGTTCTCATTAGTGTTGTGATGAAATCTGAACGCAAGAGTCAGACCTCAAATCAGTGTCTCAAGAGGATTGTGACCCTCTTGATATTGTTACTTATTTGAAGCTGTATAAGATGACTTGGGAAAATGAGTTACTGACAGTCATGGAAATCTGGTTGTCTTGGTAGTTCCAACAGAATGAATGATAATGAAGTCTGGAATAATTCACAACTGTTATGCTAATTGTGGCATTAAATGCAAAGCTGTTATTTTAACATTCTTGTAAGTGCTAGTTTAGTGTTTATGTACAGAATAAGTGATGTAAGTGCAACTAATGTGTAATAAATTGGGAGAATAATGTAAACCTCCCAGTTTGAGGGAAGCAGGGCTATTGTTTTCATCCTAATGCTTCATTCAGAACAGAGAAACTGTCCATTAATCTCTTCTGAGACTAACTTTGAGATACAAAGGATACATAACGTGAAGGGTCATGGTCAAGGGTGGAAAGTTATATAACACAGATCTATCAAAGACTTCAAACTCAAATCTTTCATCTAGACAACTGTCAGATGACTGTTGTTCAATGCAAAATATTATTAATGGACTGACACTTGCACTTGCCAAGAAGCAGAGGAAGAGTGAATGTTTCAAAAATAATTCATCATGGGACTCTTTTTATTCCAGACACAGTCAGCAGCACACATATTTACTTACAGTGGGCTAAATAGCCTTCTACCTGCTCTAAATCATGAATAGCAAATTGATTCTCTCTCTGCCCATGCTATAAAAGAGGTGGTTGTATATAAATATACATAACCTTTATTTTTAGACTAACTAAACAGGTACCAGGTTAAACAGATTATTGAACTCCTGTATGACAATTTTAAAATGTTATTCTTTGGCTTTTTTACACAAAACATATCAGAAATATAAATGTATATGTAGCTTAGGTATGTTAGATATTACAGTTGCAGTGCTACTAAGTATTTACATGCAAGGAAATAATCTGTAAAGCTACTATAGGTTTGAAGGCTCAACAGGATTTTACACCGATACTACAGTAATACTTCAAAAATTATGGGATTAAGAAAAACATTTACTGAATCATTAGATCTCTAAAAGTAAAACTATTAAATATTTGCCTATGTTGCAGACTGTTTGTAGGTAAACAGAATAGAATCTCATAAAGGAAGTTTCCAAAATGCGTCAAAGGAGAAAAATATTAAAAGCCTCCATGTACGTATAAAATGCAGATCAACATAATGGCATGTGCAGTACTGAATACAGAATGCAATGAACCGGGTGATGTTGCCACCAAGGTCTTGGGTGCATCTGGAAGTGCCTGTTAAAGATCATCTTGCATCAGATAGGTCATCGGTGTTACATTTATTCTCCTCTTACACCACACATGAAGCATCATGTGATTTCCTCACCTTTTCCTACAGTAATAGCTTATTCTTGTGCAGTGAAAGGAGAAATAGGGTTTCCTGTCCTGTCTTAAGAAGGCTTTTAATTGATATGCTATGTCTATATAACAGAATCATTTAAACTACGGAATTTTTGTTTTCCTTAAAAGGCACAATACCAGTTTCAGTAAAGTTCTAACTTGAAGATGTATCCCTACTACCTCTGTACTGTATGAATACTTTCTTCGTCCTGTGAAGTGTTTGTCTATATTTTACTAAAATACTCTCACTTGAAGCACAAATCCAGTACCTAAGCCAGTGTTTGAAACCAGGAACATGAAGCGAACGTGTAGAAGGGAAGTTTTAGACTTTTATAGATGTATCTTTTTAAACTGTACAAGGCACATTTGGAATTCAGTAGCTATGGATCAAATGTCCCACAGAAAAAAAATAATTCAAATGTTTACCAACTCTCTATTCAGAGTTGAGAACAATGCTTAGAGCACTAGACATGGTATTAAAAAGCATCAGAAAAATTAGTTTTGAAGGAAATTAATGGTTATTCTAATGTGGAATTTTAAATTTTATTTTTTAAGAGTAATTGTGTAGCTGAAGCTAACTCAAAATGCAGAGTTGTGGATGTGGCATGTTAGAAAACCAGTAGCGATATCATTATGAAATACACAAGAACATGTCAAAAGTAATAGGCTGTGACCAAAACCTAGGCTGTTCTCTCTCATGACATCGGAACTCAGAAATACAAAACCTGAAATGGAAACAGTAGAATGAAAATCAGGTGACGGACGTTTTCCATTGATGCTTGAAAATATTTGCTGCATACGTGGGAACACGTGTATTTTCTGAATATGAGGGTGTCCCTTCAAGCAATTTTGTTTTATGCAACTTCTGCCGGAACACTGGGCCTTAGTAAAGGAGGTGTGCCTCACTTAAATGTCTGTCATCCTTCTGCTCTAGCAGTTTTAGCCTAACATGTGTCTTAAGCATTTGTCTTTCAGGTAGTGCTGCAGAGCAGTGTTTGAGCCTACAATTCATGGGAATACCTGAAAGGGTTCAAAGTCCATTTCTTGAACCTCCATCTATTCCTAATGTAACAGAGGAACCCTCTGTAGTTCCTTTAAATGGCAGCCAGATGACATAGGATGCTTTGAAAGCACCATCATGAAGGTCTGAAAAACTTGAAATAAAATAGGAGATGTGACAGACCTGTGCCCTCACTGACAGGAGACAGAAGCATAGCCTCTCTGTAGTGGTCTGCTGTTGACTTAGGATGCTCCTCTTGTCAACGCAGAATGAATGAAGTGGTTTTGCTACTTAGCGTGGCAACATTTGCTTGTTGCTGTGACCTCCTCATGAAGGACCTGGCCTAGCTTTAACTATGGTGTAGTTCCAGGTCTTGCTCTAAGAGATTAATCTTCTACACACTGTCTGACAGGAGAAACACTCTAAGCGTAAAAGCAAAACCAAGTATCACAGGGAGATATGTTACAATATAATCAAGCATAGGTACCAAAGAGTAAATAATCAAGAACCTTCTTTCAAACCTCAGGCATGCGAATGGGCTGAGCTGTTGCAGACAAGTTGAGAGCAAAGTTCCTAGGGTCAGCTGCACACAAGGAAACTTTCACTTCCTGCCTGAGAATCAGGAGAAAGCTGCACAGTAAAATACGGGCTGGCATGTTCTTGTACAGAGCAGTGTGCCTGAAGTTCTTTAGAAAGGAATCCTCTGAGGTCGTATTTTCAGAGATTTACCTGTTTCAGTAACAAAAAACAGTGAACACTCAATTAGCACAGAGCATGCTTAGGTTGTTTGGCTTTCCACGATGACCTCTCCAAGCAGGGGTGTTAAAACATAAATGATTCTTGCTTGGCTATGGGATTTGGCAAGGAGGTGATTGTGGATCACATGGAATGTATTGGTTCCCAGCCAGCATTCCTCTGTCATGGCTCTGGTCCCCAGCTCTTGTAATGACTGTCAGAGCATAACTGCCTTTCCATCTCATAGTCTCCATGTCTCTGCACCTGCTCCCACTTGGGGTTTGAAGGTGCTGTGCTATGCTGGGACCTTGCCTCACACCAGGGTGCCAAGAGCATTCCTCCTGTGCAGTGCCGATTGCCAACAGCCCTGAGCTCCTGTGGAGGTGGCCTTGCTTCCCAGTTCATAGGATGTGAACCGGGAGATGAGCTTCTTGCTTAGGTAGCTCTACACAGAGGAACACAGCCCAGCTCTGCCAGTGTTTGGCATGGCGCAGTGTTCCTCAGCAGGCATTGTCATGGCAGGTGACCTGGAAGCTGTTGGATGATGGTACTGCATGAAGCACAGCATGGATCTGCATTTCGTGAGCACTCTTTGTTGTGAGCAAGAGAACCTAGACTGGAGAATTTTTTCCTGTAATTTGTCACTAATTAACACAAGCTTTGGATCACTGACTCATGTATTGAGAACAAGAGAATATAAACAACTGAACACTTGGGGAAACATCCTTCCTCCCCTCCCCCTTTTCTAGGCTCAATTTAAACTGAGCACAATTCCTACTCCCCTTGTTGCTGCCGCTCCTCACGCGTGGTGTCTCCACAGGGGGAGGGTGAAGTAGTGCGTAATAGCTTCTCCTTTCTGTTCTGTACTCCTTTTCCTCGGCTCTGGATTGGATCGCTCCTGGCCCGCAGTCCCCTCAGGGTGGACCTGTTAGTACTCTTTATTTTCAATTCTTTTGTGATTTAGGCATAGAAGATGCTAGTTACTGGTCCCCCACTATGTTCTTCCAAATGGAACTGGAAGATTGTATAGGACTGAAAAGAGGGAAGCTAGCTCATGACCCATGGAAACCTCACAGTAAGCTTCTGGATCTTTTTGGTGAGCTTGTAAAAGCTCTTGTTTCAGACTGGGCAAATGTGCTTCCTGCAAGTGCAGCACCCTCCTTCCCTCCGCGCTTGGGCTGCCTGTTGTGGTCAGCAAGGTGCTAAAAATGGGACCTGCTAGCATCTTGTAGAGTCTGAGAGCACTTTGGCCAAACTAAGGTCTTAAGAAATCTGCTAGTGGATGAAGATGCTACAAATATTTAATCTGTGGTCTAGAGAGAATGTGAGCTCCGTGTATTCAGAGGTGCTGGTGTGCTCAGAGGTACCTGAAGAATGGGTCATGGAAAGGAAGGAGGATTGAAGTCAGTGGGTCTGAAGGGGAGTTTGGGCAGGAGCTGATCGGGATGGGGCCTCCTTACATGGAGGAGAGGCGAAGGGCCGTGGGAGATGGTCTGATGAAGTGTAAGTGATGTCACTCCTGTAAGAAGAGGTAGCAACCATGGTGAGCAATACTTCCTGAAGACTCTTGTCAGTAGTCTGGTGGTCCCTCTTCAGCTGCTTTCAGCATTGTCTTGTAGTCATCCTCCATTTCTTCTCCCAGTTGAAATTAAAATCTCTTTTTTATCCCTAGGCAAAGCCAGTTGCCAGAATCCCCGCCAGACTCTGGATCTGAACCATGTTCTCCACCACAGCTCCAGAGTAGGTCACATGAATTTATCCTCTCCCAAGCTCAAGGAAGATCTTCAACTCCTCTTATTTCTTACTTTCTTGTCTGTTTACTTTTTACAGCCCCATGGTATGACACTATGTGGCCCAGTGGGCTGCAGCCTTCTCTCCCATGCTCATCTGCTGTGGCACCCAGCAAGCTTCCCTGCCGGTTCATGGAGACTTACTTTGACCCCAGTGCCAGCGGACAACCCTGCAGCATCCCCCAAGGCTGCTGTCAGAAGACAGAAAATACTGTGGCTCCTTGGAATAATTCTACATCCTCCAGCTGTTTGGGTTTTAATTATTCATACTTTCAGCCAAATGCATCTCAGATTTCTGGGTAAATGATAAAGTATTTATGCAAAGGATGAGACAGATACAAAAAAAATATAGCTGGTAGAAGACATGGTAGAAGACTGGTGTAAAATGCTCTTAAGTGTAAGGTTTTCCACAGGATGGCAGTGTTTAGACGTTTTTGAGACACTTATGGTTGAGGCTTTAAACATCTTGATTGAAGTTCAGATTGGAAGTAGGAATGGATTTCAATTTTAAAAACGTGAAAAGGCTAAAGAGGGATCAAGAGGTGCTTCATAACTGGATTATAAAAATATTCAGGAGTTTTGCAATACTTATTGCAAGATTTGTCCATAAGGATTTTGTAAGTGTTTGACAAGTGACATGAGAGGAAAAAAAAGAAAAAGTCATATCTATGTAAGCAAGTGAAGCGGTATTCATATACCATCTGCCATATTCACCCACCAGCACGTTGTGGATACTTAATTATTTAAAATACACCGGGTAGTGCAAGCATCCAGCCATGATACCTAACAAGAATGAACTGGCTGATGCATGCCAGAGAGGGACCTCCCCGCTTGTGGGGAGATAAATGTGAATTCATTGGTGTTAGTCCTGGCTTGCTGATGCTCTGTCCTTGTCTCCTCTTCTGTACAGAGCTCAGTTACGTGTTGTATGTGGTGTGGAGAAGGAAGCTGTGCCCGGGTTTCTCAGTGAAGCTATTTGTGTTCCTTATTTGTTTGTTTTCCAGTAGAAGGTGCCGGATAGTCAAACTCATATTATTTTTTGAGGGAATACTTCAGTTATTGGAACCTAAGATACAAAATACTTCTTAACCAAATGTGGAACTTTCGAACAAACCCAGAAAAAGAATAGCAATTACTGTGGTGGGCAGGCTTTTCTTTTACTCGTGGAGAAGCATTAGTTTGAGTAGCTACTGGGCCTGAATGAGACCTGGAGTTTGGCTTGGTTTTTGCCTCATCCAGAAGGAGTGACCATCTGTCAGGATATTCTAGTCTACGTTTTATAATATCAAAACTTTGGAAGAAGGTTTTTTCTCTTTGCACAAAGGAGCATTTTTTTAAATCTCACTTCCCGGGAAAGGGGAAAACTGTTGTCCAGCAGTTGTCCCTTGAGATCTCTTAATTAATGCAGTAATTTAACTGCTACTAGTGTTTTCTGTATAAAAAGGAAAATGAGTTCACACTCGATGCAGTACAATTATTCAAGATAAAGCTATGATTTTAATGCAAATATCCAGAAACAATAAAACTGTGCCACATAGGCACTGTGTAAGTTTTCTAAAAAAGATCAACTTCTCTATTCATATGAAATAAGAAAATCAACTAATTTATGTTTTGGAAGGAAAAATGGTATAATTCAGTTTTAAAAAGCCAACAACAATCTCCTTCCTCGGCAAATCAAAATTTGGGTTACACTACAGTTAGAATGAGATACCTGCGTGTCCTCCTGTTATGATTCTGTAATATCTGGACATATACTTATGAGTAATGCAATGTGTATTTTTAAAAAAGCATTTCTGCAGCATCAGGCCAAAAAAGAAAGCTCTCACAATTACTGGGAGATGCCACTGATTCTCCAGTCCAGTCTCAGGACTCCAGACAAGGTAAGCAACTGCGTGAAGATGAAATTTAATGTTTCATACCATAGACAGGTAAGTATTTTAAGATCACAGCTCCTGCTGGCTCTGAAAAAGTAGTGGTATTAACAGTCTGTGCTCCACTACTAGGTTTGGAGGAGTTTAACTTTTCAGTGTTTTTGAAAACCAGGACCTATTTACATTTGGTGAAGAGAGAAGCTGTGTTAGAAGTTTATGTTTCCTAAGGACTCTGGACAAAATATTCTGCTCTTCTCCATGTGTGAGCCTGCAGTACACAGATGATACCATACTCTGCTGACTTTGCTTGACACTAAATTGACTGGGCAAAGAAACCATCTTGGGTCAGCTTAACAGCGAATTAATGTGGTGGATGAGCAAACAGATTGCAGTTTATCATCTCAACTCCATATTTTTTCTACGAAGTGTATCCATACCCAAGCTTGGTAAAAGCTGTGTGTTCTTCCCCACCCCTTCCCCAAATTAATTTGATTCATTGTTCTGTCAAGATAAAAATGCTAAGCTTATACCAATTGATAGAAAAAAGCTTATCAGGCATGTACAGAAGTGGATCAGCTTCAGTGAAGTGTGAGGCTCTCTGTGAATGAACAGTTTGTAATCAACAGTTTATCTGAGGAATGTCGCCCTTGTCTGTTAGTGGAAAATCTGAGAGTTGCTTGTTATTTCTTTGGAGTAAGTTATTTTTCAGCATGAAATCAATCTTTTAGAACACTTCATAAGTATCACCTGGATTTAGTAGGTTACTTTTCCTTTGGTATCTTTTATTTGATCAGTGTTGCTTGATTGTCTCTAGTCCTTTACGTCTACCACTTTCGGAAAGAGAAAATGAGCAGACACTTCTGTATCTAAAATGACTATTTTTAATACTTAAAGACACAGCTTTGAAACGTGCTTCCCTTGGGAGTCACTGTTAATAAAATCTCACTGACACACAAGCCATTGGAAAAAGAACACAGCCATTGGTAAAAATGGCATGGGGATAATTTAGAAATGAAGTGTGAATTTCATTACTGTGTTGGTTTTTTGTTTTGTTTTGTTTTTTTTTAATATTTTTGCTCTACTGTATGCCAGAAGTGGGGAATTGCAAACGAAGCTTAGGCCTGAAGTGATTCTGTAGGCTCTGTCTTACTGGGCTGCCACGGGCTGTGGGTGGATCTTAGCTTGTATGCTCAATGACATATTTTCTCCTGTCCTTACTGCACTCCGTTTATCTGTCTGTCTTATCACGTTCTCCTGTCTTCATAAAATGTATAATATTTCAGATAATTGTGGTTGACCTTATCTATCTCAGAATGCTATAAGGTATAGTCAGAAAGCGTTAACCAGTCAACCAGATGTAGTGGTGAATGTGCTTGCTATCAGCAAACTGTGCCTCCTGCTCTGGGATGGTACCTGTTGCAGTGAGTTTGAGTATATTCGGTTTAAAGCTGTAGTAGAGTGAATGAGAAACATATAATTATTTTGCTTATTTGCTTCTTGCAGTGGTGCAGGTATACAGTAAAATGCTTAGCTTTCCTCCCCTTGCGCCCCCCTCGAAACTATCTATTCTTTTGGAGAGAATAAATACAAGAAGTGCTACTCGTGTAATATTTTGCAGATCAGGAAAGCTGAAAAATTTATTTTCTAGGGCAAGGGAATATGACACAACCTTTTGGACTAACTGCAAAGGACAATGAGCTTTAAATAGATATGCCATATATTTGTGCTTTATATGTATGTATATACATAAATATATTTATAAAAATGTTTATGAACGATTTTTGGCTAGTCACAAAAGTAATAACTGAATTGTCACTATCTCTCTACAGCAACTGTTAAGGACTGTGCTGCTGAAGTGCAAGAATATGACAGTGATGGACAGAATGCAGCTTTAGAAAAATGCAGTCAAGCTCTAACATGGAAACCTTATCAAACTTCTCAGTGGAACAGCTTATTTAACTCTAATTATGAAAAACTGTAAGCACTGATGTTTGCACTTGGAAAAAGTGGTTTCTTGTGGTGGTGTTGTTTTGTTTTTGTTTTTGTTTTTCTGCTAATGTACTTTTGTAGGAATAAATGATGCATTTGGCATCCTTTGTTCTCACTGAAAATAAGACTGGAGAAGGAGGTAGAGCAGGCATGTTGCATTATGAATCTGCAGGTGTGTCAGATAAGCAGAACTTTAAACACTGATTGAAATTCATGCCAGGTTTTCTGATTTCCCCTCAAGGATTTAAATGCAAAAGAAAAATGACTTCAACTTTAAATACCTGTAAATTTGTGTTTATTTTGTCAAGCACATTGGGGCAAGTCTTTACTGAGCATATGGCACCTTTCCCTCAAACGGCCTAAAACATTGAAGAAAAATGGAAATAGGAGATACCTGTATTACTACTGGGCTCATAGAACCTAAGTCTTAGTAACTATAGACATATATGTATGACGTGCAACTGTTTAGTGAAAGATTTAGAGTTTTCCTGTATAAATCAGAGCTGTAAATAATTTTTTTTGGCCACATGATCTGGGAAAGGTCATTCCAAGTTCACTTTACATCCCAGGTTTTCTCCATTCTAATATTTAGTGAATGATTCCTTTTAACAAAAGGAATTCCTTTTACAGTGTCTGGTCAGTTTGCCAGGACTGGTGCAAACAATTTGTCGCTGTCTCCACGGGACTTAAATAGCATAGTAAATTTTAACGTTCCTCTAGCCCAGCCTGCTAGAAGCACTCATGGGAATTTGGAGTGTATCAGTGTCATTGCTGGACGCTGATGTTCCCTGTTTGTGCACAGTGTGATAAGGGCAGTACACACCTTACTGCGTCCCACACAGCCCTTCTCCTAAGGTATTGACATGACAAGAGAGCAGACAGCTCAGTGTCCACACCTTTCCACTCCTTGGGAGCTGGATGGGCCTTTCATCTGTGTTTGTGATGTGAGTTATCACTCTACATGGAACTGGCTTCCAACTCCTGTTACGTTTTCAGTCAATGGCTACATGAGAGCTGTGAGCTGATGATGGGAGATTGCTCTTCTGCCACTACCCAATTACTCGTTGGTTCTCGTACACTTAAAATTGAGGTTCCAGACTCTCATTTCTTGGTGGCTTGTATCAACAAAGACAATGTGATGCTGGACATTAAAGCATCCAAACACATGTACTGTTACGATTACTGTGGAAGGGGCTTGAGATATTATTTGCAGAGGAAGCCAGTGTTACTTTTAAGTGAGGTCAATGGCAATGCCTTTGTTCCAAGGTGCACTGTAATTATGCACACAGATTTTTCTGAGTTGTGATTCTGTATTCTGTTAGCCTCACACAAGTCCTGTGCTTATCCCTGCACATTGTAAACGGATTGGTCCTGTACCTTGAAACTGCTGTGCTCACTTTGAGGGCATTTCTCAGGTTAATTATTATTTTCTGGTTTATTCATGCTGTATTTTAACCTTTTGATTATTTCATTTTCACAACAAAATGCTGTTAGCTGAGGTAGATTCATTAGAAAAGGTTACTCTATCATTAATAATGCCCAGCATTTTGTCTGCTTGGCACTTTCTTAGCCCCTTGCCCCATTACTGTTGTCATTGAAGTGACTCGGTTCCAAAGATGTCGTCTGAAGATTCAAATTCTGAATAGAAAAAGGAATTTGAAGTGTATTTCTAGCAGGGACACTTGTGTGTCAGAGATATCCTTTGCTACCTAAAAGTTCTTCCAAATTTTACTGTATTGTTTGGTAAGACTGACCATTTTTTGTGTGATAAGATCAAAATATGTATTTGGTCTCAATTGCTGTAAATGACTTACTTGGAAAATTATAAACATGAAATTCCTCTTTCCTTGTTCCAAACAATTTACCTTGGAGAAATGGAAATTTGTACTTCTGCTTAACAATCTGCTTGCCTGCCTGTAAGCAAATAGTCTGAAATTGCTTCAAGAATATCAGCTAGTGAAGTTGTTTCACACTAAAATCTGAAAACTGACTCCTTTACCTACTATGAAATACACACATTTCCTACATAAATAAAAAGAATTACCAATTGTAGGAAGAAACTGAAGTTTTGCTTCTTTAATAATGATGGTTTGAGGAGATTGTAGACAATTACAATTTTAAATGTGAATTAACGTATGACTTAGTAGTTTTGAAGTAGTTATAATTTTCTCTTTATTCCCTGTCCCAGACAATCAGTGATTGTTTGAAAGGGGCCTTTTGTTCATAATTTATAAAAAGATAATAAAGCCTGTACATTTCTTGTAAAGTCTGTACATTTTGATTTTTCCAACTAATGATGTGCAAACAAATGGATGAGTTCTAAAAGCCATTTTCAGTAATTGTGTTAATGAGAGGTTCTCAGTAGCATCAGATATGATCATCATTATCAAACTTTCATTAGCAAGAAAAGCTGAGGCCCATATAAGAGAACTTTGCCATGTAGTCCTATTATTTCAGAATTATCCATCGTTGAAATCAGAGGACTGAAACATTGCTGGGATGGCGAGTTCATTGGCTCTTTTAGAAAGATCTTTTGATACCTTTCCTTGTTTGCTGTGAATGATAAGGACAGAATACTTTTTCTCTTTGGATGACAGATTAGCCCTTTGAATAAATCGAACAGTTTCCTTAGTTGGAGTAGGATGGACAACATCATTATAAAGGAGTTTTATAGTCATCCAGCGGAGGGTCACTATCGATAGCTTTTCTTCTAGCTTGAATAAAGCCTTATTTGAATCCCAGCAGCTTCTGCAGAAGCACTTGGTGTGGGAATTCAGGAACAAACTAGGGAGTCTTGCTGGCTCATTAGCATGTTGTTGTCTGCAGCACTTGTTTAGCTCTGTTGTCTATAGCAATGTTATAATGAATGCTTGAATACACGAAAAGGTTTGGTTGTGCTTTTAGGTGCACAGAGTTCCTTTATATGACATTTGTAAGTGAGGATTATGTAAACTTCTCCACCTCCAATTTCCAGACTAGAGTTACAGTATGTTTTATATGCATTTTCATTTTTAGACCTCTAAGAGGCTAAGAAGAAAATACTGGTAGAACTGATGATTGCAAAGATGTATTTTGGCTCCCATTTTGCCAGTAAAAATCAAATGGATTTTCAGATCACATAAAAAATAGGAACTCAAGATGTCACTCAAATATGCCTGTACTTAAAGTTGCAATTCTTTCTTCTTGTTTTTGTAGACCTGCTGTAGGATATCATATTGTCACAGATAAAGGATTTAATTTTTCAACAACAGATGATGCCTTTGTGTGCCAGAAGAAGAATCATTTCCAAATCACAGTCCATATTAGAATCACTGGACATCCAAAATACGTCAAAACTCAGCTGGGGGGGAAACCAATAGAAAAGTTTTACTTGAAAGCTTTTGGAATAAAGGCAAGTATTTTTCCTCTTTGTGATTATTACTTTTAATAAGTTAGTATGTAATTATCCATAGAATGAGATAAATAATTGCAATGAACTCTTTTCTTAGTCATTTTTGACCAAGAACTCACAAAAGAGAACTCTTTTAAGTTACTAGTGATTTCTGTGTGGAAGTCTTTTGAAAAAAAAGCGATGTTTTATGCATGCTTGTGCTGATATATGTTTGAAAGATGTCACGTTTGCCTGTTTGCCATGGTTTCACTGACTTCCCTCTCTGGCTGAAATTTTGTTCCCACTGTGGACAGTGTAGGGGTGTCAGCTGGTGTGTAGGTGCCCAGTCTAACCATTGGTCAGAAAGATGTCTTGAAAAAAACAATTCACAAAGCAAAGAAAAAGAATCCAATCTGTTTTTCCTGAAGAGTTCACGTGTAGAAAATAACAAAACTTCCTCATTACTTCTGGCCAGATTTTCCATTTTCATTTTAAGAACCAAATTCTTCCCAGCTGCTATGGCTCCACAAGCTTGCCTTTACAGAAGTAGTAAGAAATTTTAATATTTCTGAAAGATTTTACAAGGTTTTTTACTTACTACCAAAATTCAGTTATTTAAAAAAAATCCATGTAGCTGTTTTACAAGGCAGTTACTACCGCTTATTATTTTCTATTTCATATTTTATGTGTTTGAAAATTTAATATTCCTGTCATTTTTGAAAATTCTTTTGTCTTTATAGGTGGAAGCTCCAAATCAAACAATTGCTATCGAACAGTCTCAGTCAGATCGAAGCAAAAAAACTTTCCATCCTGTTAAGTAAGAAATTTGAGAAAATCATTCCATTTTATTTCAATACGTGATTGGTCTGAAATGTGAACTAGCTGTTTCTTGGGAACTTGTAGTAGCTTTAAGCCAGTTTCCTGATCTTTATACAAATTCCGTTCTGGATGGGCACATAGAATCACAGCAGTGGTATATACCTGGTCTCCCATCATTAAGGAAAATTTTCAGCAGCTTTACAAATATGTTAAGTATGCCTACCCCAATTATTTATATTCAGCTAGTAACACTGTTGTATGGTGTTTAGAGCTGTATGGCAGATGCTTTTCCTATCTTACAAAATGTCAGTAATGTTCCTGTTCTACATGGGCATGAGATGTATTTGCAGTGCTTTTGAGGGGGAGTGCCTCTGCTAGAAACATACGTGTGCCTTCTCCCTGGAACTCTCAGCCATTCATCTGCATCTTAACTCACTGGCAGAATCAATGTTTGTTCTTCTGGCATAAGTGTCTTATGTTGGAGCTGTTCTGTTCTCTATAAATAATGAAATAAGCCTTAAAACAGAAAAAGATAAGACAGTGTCGAGTTCGACAGGACAGTGCTGAGATAAAGGCTGCAACACATAGGCTGGAAAAATGAACTTTGAGCTTGTCAAAAGAGCTCAATTTTCACTAAATTAGCTCTGTCATGACATTTTTCTTCCTTTTGCATACTGAAGAATAGATTCTGGGTGTAAATTGTTTCATGGTTGATGATGGTGTAGTTTTCAGTTATCCCAGATGAGAACGCAGTTGGTGGACTTTGGTTTTCTCCATGCAAACTCTTTCTTTGTATTATTTTTCACTTAACAGGAGCAGTGCCAGTATGTATTTGAGACATAGATGTATATTTTATACTTCCAGACATACAAATTAGGTGTAGGTGAAATAAAAAAAAAATCTAGCTTGAGCCAGGTAGATCTCCAAATGCTTTATTTCCCTGATCTTGTTTCCTTTTCTGTTTCAGAGTTGATCTGCCAGGGGACCAGATAACTAAAGTAACACTGGGAAGGTTGCATTTCAGTGAAACAACAGCAAATAATATGAGAAAAAAGGGGAAACCTAATCCTGACCAAAGGTATTGCTGTAGCTAGTCGGCCTGTGTGTGTGTGAAGCAGAAAAGAGATGGTCTACTTTAGAATGGAGCTGATGTTTGTGAAAAATCTCAGCATTGCTAAATCTGTGATTTTATTTCAAATTCTGTGATACTTGCTATCTGCTTAAAGGCTTCTCTTCTAGTCACAGAATTATACAGGAATAAAAGAAAATACCTCATCCTCATGGTTAGAGATCATTTCAGGAAATCGTAGCTGGAATGATGGCCTATAAAATCAGGAAGCCAAAAAATCAAATGATGGTCATTTTCTTCTGAGTAAGAAAGAGTCTTCGTTATTTAGATTTGTCCAAATTACTGTAATCTTTGTTCATTTTCAGTGACTTGAGACTGAAGGAAATACTTTTTCTTTCATATTGTAACATAAATACTTTAAAAAAAATGTTCTGGCTATCTTTATATGCATCAATAATAGCAGTTGTATTTAAAACGTTTTTGTTTTTTTTTGTTTTTTTTTTCTGTGAGAAGACATTACTTCAATTGTTGTCTTGATTAAATCAATTTCAAATTAGGTACTTCATGCTGGTGGTTGGACTGTATGCTGTCTCTCAGGACCAGTTCTACCTATTGTCTGCAAATGTCTCTGAAAAGATCATTGTGAGGGTAGGTAGAAATTTATATTGCTTTCATGTGAAAAGTATTTACTGTTTTGATAATGACAGGAGGCTATGGGGGGCGTAATTCTTGAGTATAAAATATTGAGGAAAAAAAATTACGGTTGCATATTGTATGAGTATGTTGTTATCTTTTATTTATCAGGATTTAAAAATGTTAAAAGTAGAACTAACTATAGAAGAATTTAATAAGAAAACTTGTTGTGCATTCCAATACAAAATACGTTGATTTTTTCCAGATTGTTTTTTCTTTGAGGTGAAACAATTCCCTGCACTTGCCAGGAATTTGGTTAATGCTTTCATTGGCTAGATGCTTAATTTTCAAAGGAAGAAGAGAAGGAAAAAAATTGCAAGGAAAGAAGATCAAGCAGTTCTAGGAAGATTAAGACCCATAGCTGCCTCTTTCCAGTGTGTTTCCAGAGTGTCCCAGCTCTTAGTTTGGTGGTTGTCATATAGGTTTCAAAATAGAAAAAGGAAGAATTGGTCTCTCTTCCTCATGACCATTACTTTTCAGTCCCCCGATCCATGTAAAGTTTTCCTTTTAGTACTCAGCTTTAGCCTACAGTTAGAGTTCAAATTGGAAGAAAGAAAAAACCCGGAGCTCTACTGTAACAGGAGCTATGGAGGGTTAGGTTTAGAAGAGCGAGAAAGCACAGAGCCCCAGCATGAGTGGGGTTGTGAGGGAGCTGCCAGGGGCAGGTGGGGGCTACCAAAAACTTTCAGTCCTGACGTCTTCTTTGTGTGACCAGTAGCTGGTGTTTAAAGTTTGAATCGGTCAGAGTCTAGGGTTATGATTATTTCTAGGGTGAAGATTATGTTTAGGGCTTAGAATAATAGGAAATGCATAGGTGCCACATGGTGGGTCTGCAAAGGATGGTGAGGACCTCCAGAAGATTGCAGTCCAGTGAACTTTTTCCTGTGGGCCGATCAAGAAGCTTTCTATTGTTTGCATGGAGCCTTTCTCGTCCTCGGCTTATGGTGAGGAATAGGCTTAGTGTTTTGTTTTAGAGTCAAATAACACCAAGAGCTCTAGTATAAGAAGTGTGGCTGGGAAGGGGCTCCTACAGAAAGGTGAGGGCTGTCAAAAGCTTTTAGTCCTGGCATCGTTTTTTGTATGCCATTGCTTGGGTCCTTTTTGGCAGCACGTTGTCTGCCCAGGCTTCTGATCACAGCCTGGTTTAGCGTTAGAGTTCGGAGAGAGCAAAAGCACAAATTCCCAGTAAGCGCGGTGTTACATGGGACCTGCCAAAGGGAGACGATGGCTTTCAGATGGTTTCACACCTGGCTCCTTTTTTGTCTGGGCCATAACTTTATGTCCTCTTGTGCCATAAACCCTCTTCCTGCAATTACGGTTAGGTTTTTGGAGGACAATATGGCCGAGAGCTCCTTTCTGGGTAGAGCTGTGAAAGGGCTTTGAAAGTCATGTTCAGAGTTCAGTAGTTTTCTGCTCTACTGAAAAGTTTTGTCATCCTGGCTATTGCTGTGGATTCTTTTATTTCAGGACACTGAAGCATTGTGTTTGTATCGTTCCTGCATATATAGGTGTTTTTTTTTTTTTCCTTTTTTGTCCATTAATTTCCTCAGTACTGCTTTCGTCTGAATTTCTCTTTCTGCATCTAGCAGTGTCACAAATATAATCTCTTTACTAATTTGGGAAGGCTGTTGAATTTTCACATTTGACTCATCCTTGGGGTTATTGTTACCTTATAATATCTATATTTTTGTGTAAGATTCAGAAATTTACATTTTTCTGTCATTTTTAATGTTTCTTTTGAAATTTCAATGAAGAGAGCTCCTTTGATGTATGTGAGACAATTTTTTAATAGGAATCTAGGGAATGAGATTTTGCAAACCTGGCCACTATTCCAGACAAAGAAAAAAGAAAGCAGAAAAGCAGAAGGATCAAGAGGCTGTGATTTGAAGTGGTGAAAATGTCAACAGGAAAGCTGGAAAGAAAAAAAAAAAAAGTAATTTTCCAGATGTCTGACAGGGCTTGAGTGGCAGGGTACAGTGAGCCAGCCACTGGTTGCCTTAAAGAGGCAAAGCTGTGCGAATGTACTGTGAGAGAAAGCAACTCGTGTTCTGGCCCTTTATACACTCAAGCATAACGCAACAAAACTACCAGCTGAGTAGTGGCATATCAGATCATGCTCTAATTGTGACAAACAGTGATAAGTGCCCAGCACCATGCATTGTAGATGGCAAAGCCTTGTGAAAACCTGACTTCTTTAAACGAGTACAAACTTCTAATTGTGGTCATACTTTTGTTCAGATTCAAGTTTTAAAGCCTGAATTCAAAGTTCAATGAAAATAACATGACAAAATAAATTCTTAAAACAAAATTCTTTTTCTAATTATACACACTCCGTTTTTTTTTTTGGTGTTTCTTGAATGACCCTATTTCCTTGACGTGAAATTTTGAATATGAGTTAATTTTAAACATTACAGAGGATTTTAGCGAACTTATGAATATGCTTGTTTTGTGATCCCTCAGTGAAAATGGTGTTTAGTTAACTAGATAGTAGTAATTATTTGTTTTTCCAGATGGTCACCTCTTCAGCAACTGCTATTTTTAGACTTCATAGGTCTCTGGAACCTGGCAAACAGATTTTGAATGTAATTTATACCTCAGTATCTCATCTGCTAAGTAAAAGCAAAATTCATTTGGTAGCTGTGACTTGCAGAAGTTACTGTTAGAAAGTTAATTTGTTCCTGCCCATTTCATTAAGCAGTGTTTTCTACTGGTCCAAAAACACAAACAAATGAAAAATATCTCATTATTCCATTTTGTTTTGGGGGCGTATTAGTAAGACTTAAGCTCCTCAGAATGTCAAAAGACTTTTGATTTAATGACTTGATTTTTTTGTGGTGTTTTGTTGTAGAAATGCCCACAAAGACACAAGTATTTCCTGGGCCATAGTTTGTTGGGCATTTCATTTTGCGGCAGCACTGAATGAACAGTGCTTGACTCATTTATGCTCCTATCAGACTTCTTGCTACTGTTCCCACACTCTTCCTCAGCCATGCTGGTGCAACTGTTTTTCCAGGGCCCTGCAATGAACAGGAATGGAGACTGATCTGTGTTAAAAAGAAGTCTAATTTTTGTGCTTGGTTAATTTTAAGTCAGACTGGTTCCTCCATTGTCATCTATGTCGGTGTATCAGCAGAATTGAGGGCTGTCAGGTGGAGATGGTTGATGGAGTGATATGGTCTGCCTACACTGGTTCTGCTGCCAGAAATGTACATTAACCTATAGCCCTGGGGTATAGTTTGATTGCCTTTCCTCCCCCTGTGTCACAGTTCTCCATTGCTTCAGTTGTGCTGAGGTGATTGTCTATCTGACATTGCTGCAAAATGGTTGCAGGAAATAGAATGAGCCTGAAAAGTAAACCTCAGCCCTACAAAACCTAACCTCCTCCATGGTGATGGCTCCTCAGCAGATGTTTTGATGATTGTGAAAAGGGAGCATGTGTAGGGGCAGTCTCGCTACCCCCTTCCTGCCTCCCCTCCTTCTCCTTGTTTTCATATTCTTGTTCTGGAGCAAGGCTCCACTGTACTAGCTATTGCGTAAACAGAGAACAAAATGGGTCCTTTCCACAAATGCTTTACAATTACATTTGTAATTTACCATTTAGGTAATGCAATTGGGTTTCTTTTTTCAACTTTCTTGCTTTAAATAGTTATTTCTAGAAACCTGCAATACATGCCATTTATCATTTGGAGGATCTACTTCAGGAGAACAGGACCTGTGAATGCAGGCCAAGATCACCTCTGACCTGTTCAGCACAGGCTTTCAATGCATGCTGGAAAAGTTTGTGAAACAGCATGTAAAAGGAAAAAAAATAATATGGCCAAAACACGTTAAAAAAATGTTAAATTTTAACATTTAAAACATGTTAAATTCTTCCTTTCTGATTTCCAGCCTCAGCTAAAATTTGCTGGTAAATAAATAATTATGTGGCACAATGTGAAAGTTAAAATTCAGAAAGCTTTGGACATTGATAATTTAGCTTACGATGATGTCGCGGTTTAGGCCGATCCAGCAACTAAACTCCACACAGCCACTCTCTCACTCCTTCCCCAGTAAAGTGGAGAGGAGAAAATGTAATAAAGGGACTGAGGGTCAAGACAAGAACAGAGGGAGCACCCACCAACCATGGTCCCGGGCAGAACAGACTCGTCTTTCTTAAAGCAAAGCAATTTATTAACGGTTACTTAAAAGGACAAAGGGAAACAAAACCGGTTACTTGAGAGGATAAAAAGAAACAAAGCCAGATCTTAAACACAACACCTTCCCCCCGCCTCGCCTCCCCCCTTTTCCTTTTTCTTCCCAGCTCTACCTCCTCCTCCAGCAGTGCAGGGGGACAGGGAATGGGGGAGTGCAGGTCAGTTCATCCCATGCTGTTACTGCCGCTCCTTTCTTAAAGGAGGAGGAGTCCTTACACCCTTTTTCCCTTCCTATCTCCTACTCACAAGGAAAAATCCACAGACTTCTCCAGAGTGAGTCCTACCCCACAGGATGCAATCCTTCCCCATCGGATTGCTCCAGTGTGGGCTTTACCACAGTCTTGGATTCTTAGGGAGCTGTTGACACTCACTCCAGCATGGGTCGTCCCATGGACTCTAGATGCCTCTCTACCTTGTTGTGCATCCCATGCTTCACGACCATCCTCAGGCTCAGGCATCTCTTCTCCGATGTGGGCTTCTCCACGGGCTGCGAGTGGGTCTCTGCTCCACCAAGACTGCCATGGCTGCCGCCCGCCCTCTCCCCCCCACTTC